AAATATACAGGGTATTCCATTTAAAATAACAATGTTGATGTCACTTCCGGTGAAACCGGAAGTGTAATTTTGTTCAAAATAATTTTGGAAAATAGGTTTAGTTCGATCATATCTTCTATAAAAATTTCATATCGATATCTTTAATAGCAAAAAAAATATGGACCGATCACAGAGCACTGAATAACCTCAATAATATTACTTTAATAACTGAAATTGTCCACCATTCTCTCTAAGACGTTGGCCAATTCGTTAAAATGTCTTCTGATTTTGAATAATAAGAAGAGAATGGTGAACAATTTCATTTATTAAAGTAATATTATTGACTTCCTTCATAATTTTAGGTACCTACGTTTGTAAAAAAAGTTTTTTTTTCACGGATGAAGCAGGATTTACCAAAAAAGGTAACACACATGTATGGGCTGATGAAAATCCTCATGCCACTATTGTTTCGCATTTTCAACATCAGTTCCAACCAATTAATACTATAATAATAATAATCATTGGCAATATTTTGATTGGACCATTCGTATTGATGGCAAGATTGAATGGACAACTTTTTTGATTTAATAGAGCCCTTACCACTTGAAACCCGCCTAAACATGTACTTCTTGCACGATTGGGCACCACCTCATTTCAGCGTTGCTGTGCGGGAGCACTTGAATAACGTTTATCCAAACCGTTGGATAGGTAGAGGATGACCTATTGACTGGCCTCCTCGATTTCCCGACCTTAGGCTGATGGATTTTTTTCTGTGGGGATACCTAAAAAAACTTGGTGTATTCCACTCCGATAGATACTAGGGAGGAACTTTTACAGATAATCACGTTTTATTGTGATATGATAAGAAACAATTCTGGGTTATTCTAGCGGGTACAGCAGTCCTCAATTCGTCGTGCCCGCGAATGTATCAGAGTTCACGGAACCCATGTTGAACCCTCTTATAAAGTTTTTAATTAATTGTTTTGAATTATCGTCCTTCAATTTAAGGTTTGCAACAATACGTTATAATATTTTTTATGGTCCTTTTTATTAAAAATAAAACATGAATTTGTTTATTATTCTTTTTCTCAAAAACGGTTCATTTTATTGACAATAAACAAGAGTACCTTTATTTTAGTTTAAGGTTCAAGCTATGCAGATTTAGTTTTTTTAAGTCTTTGTCATACGGGGTGTTCAAAATTTAAGCATTAAAAAGTAAAACTTAGTCCGCCCCTGGTAAACAAAAAAAGCAAAACATGTTTCAATGACACTAATTTAAGAGGTCCTTACCAGGGTCCATCATATTAAATTTTTATTAAATTATATTTAGTACTTTAAAAGTTATTCAAGGAAAACCAATTTGCAGGGGAGTCCTTTCGGGGCCCCTGTCTCCGTAAGGATGACCAGTAGGAAAAAAATTTATAGGAACGTGTCATCTTATTTTTTCATGTTCTATCTGAATCCGAGAGATTTCCCACATTTTCCCGGACACCCTGTATATAAGGTAAGGTGGGGTAAATGTAACATCTTGCGATAAAATTCTTACTTGAAGCAGGGTTGCCAGGTCTAGGGAAATGTCCCTAGATCTGGGGAATTTTACATCACATTAGGGAAAAAGGTATTTTTTATGATTTTTAGGACAAATCTAGGGAATTTTCAACTTTCTAATTAAAAACCAGCAGTTAAATTATTTTAACGGAGGTATTTACCTATTTAGCGTTTTTGGTTATTCTCATATTTGCACATAGATGGCTCTAGGAGTCTTTAGGATATACCCAGAGCCATCTATGTGCAAATATCCAATATGGGAGGCATTAAGCGCATGAGCACACCATCAGTTGTTGTGGCTTGACAATTCATTTTATAACGTGCGAAAATGAGCTCCCCTAAAGCATCTACACCTGGAGATTACGACATGATGACATCACCATCATCCTCAGAAGAAAACCAACACATGAAGTCAAAAAGAAAACAGAAATTGTACACACAAAAGTACAATCAACAATGGGAGAAAGTACCATAGTTTAAAGGATGGCTTGAAAACAGCCAAAAAGGTATCAACTACGCTAGTTGCAAAGCTTGCAATAAAGATTTTAATATTTTATTAAGATTTTAATATTTTATTAAGATGTGCGTTGTTTGTATATAAATAATTTAAAATTTATTTGTCCCAAAATATAATATGCATATATTTAAATTAAAAAAAGTTTCAATAAAAAAAATCTTGACATACTTGTCTAGGGAAATCTAGGGATTTTTTTGTAAAAAATCTGGGGAAATTAAAATATATCATCTGGCAACCCTGACTTGAAGTAGTAAATAAAAGCAAACGAATAAAAACGCACGCTGTTGTCTTGGGTTGCATATCTAAGTAGAGAAATCCCGACAACTACAGTAGAAACCACCAATATATGAACGTGACTCATCGGGTGCCGAACATATCTCAGACATGCTAGCAGTAATGTTTTACTTGTCTTGTACATTCGATGCAGCGGTAAATGTACTCACACGTAGGTTTTTAAGCATCCGGTCTAAAATGCGCCATCTGTGATGTAAAACTGCCTAGGTGTTGGACAAAGATGGACATATGACGCGTGTCCTAGCTTGTTACTTATATTCAGTAGAGTTCGTGTTTTAGGCATTTATTTTATTTTATTACATAGTAAGGCAACCAACTTTACCGTCGGCCATTTGTTTTTATATGTCATATGATCTTTGTTTTTGCATATTGTGTTTCTGCTGTGTTACGGATTAATAATCGTTTTAAACGTTGTAGTGGCAGTGGTATATTATGTAACACAGGTAGATGTCGTATAAAAATCCTTACCTAGAAATTCTAGGCTAGAATACAAAAATATTTTTATTATAAATTTTGTACTAGTATTAGTTTAATACATTCTGAAGAAGCTACTGTGTAGCGAAACAATTGTCAATATTTAATAAATTTCGTGAAACTAACGCAAGTTGTTTTAATATCCACACAATTTAAATATCTTTCACTTTGACCTGCGTAAACATTTTTGTTTTTTGTCACCAATTCTGAAATATTTGCGTTTACAGTTAAAAGAATAGTATATTCTGTAAAAAGTTTGACGGTTTCACGAGAGGGTAATATGCAATTCCAAACGTGTTTTAGACACGAATTTAATTGAAAAAAAGTGAGGTTGGATCGGTCTAAAAATTTGTTATTAAAAACAGAGATGTCGCCACGAGTGTACGTTCTGTCATCAGATGATAGAATATTTCATTAAAGTTAAAAGAAAAGTTTATTTATTAATTAGTTTCTAAGAAAATTACATTTTATTTAATTATCGTAGATGTTAATTATGTTAGATGTTAATTATTTAAGTTTAAAAGCAAATATATCATAAGTATAGCAACCAACATTACACTCAAGATTTTTTACAAATTGGACTGCACTGGACCGTGACCTTCGATAGATTGCTTCGTACGAATGTGTCGGATGAGTCACGTTCATATATTCATATATATATTTACTACATATGTTCATATATATATTTACTGCGCAGTACCACTTGGTTACTTAAGTACATAATAATAAATCGTTTTTTCCTTTTTGTATTAACCGCGAAGTCTGTTAATTCTTAAATTAAAAATAAAAAAAGTTTGCACACCTTATGATTATTAACGGATTCACACGATTTTACACCAAAATAATCCTATTTTTTTCCTCTTTTACATTAGCCTCTTACCCAGTACAAATACATTAATAGTGTAATGTAATTAGCCGCTAACACATTTGCCCCATTTTTCGGGGAAAATGCAATATGTTAGGAACGTTTAAAAAAAAAGATGTAATTTTTTAGCCCTTAGTTCCTAACGTTTTATACTTTAGAATATAATTCTCGAGTAGTTGGGCTATATAATGAGCTTTGGGTTTGGTTTAGTTTTATCACTCCTTACTTTTAATTCAAGAGTCAATGCCAACTAGTGAAAAAACATATCGCAATTACCCCACCTTACCTTATTTTTTTTTTTAAATAAAATATATAATAAATTAGTTGCATGAATAGGTATATAGGTAATAAAGGTTATACGTATAGGTATAAGTTATACCTTTATTACCTAAATCGTTTTTTTGATTTAAATCGTTTTAAAGACTGAAGTCATTTGGTAATAAGTAATTTCTCTAAAACTTTTCCGTTTTTTCCGCCTGTTCAATTTTTCCGGAAATTTCAAAACCCTATTATGCACATAAATGCATTTTTTATGAAAATAAATAAATACGTTAAATTTTTTAAGTATTGATATAACAAGTGGCTTGGCATAATGATAACATTTGTTTTACGCTTAGCTAAAATCTGCTTTTGTTTGTGCAGTTTGAAGGAACTATTCCATGTTAATTACCGGGCAAAAGTTGATTGTATGGCAAACAACAAAAAAGCTTGGGATTTTTATCTGACTTATGCAATGTGGTATATGATGGACAAGGACAAGGACACTTAAGAAAACTGTCCTATGATAGAAATGACAGTTATGATGAAGATAAATTCGCATGAAGGCATTTCTCAAAAAAGGAAAATACGACTCAGATGATGCTAGTTGCCTTGTCAAATATGTAAGTATTACCTCCCGTTGCAAATATTTTAATCGTGAACTATGTAAGTAGGTAGTTATTTAATGTTTTATTATGTTAGTTTGCTCTATATTTTGTCTAATAATACTTTATTCTTTTATTTTAAAGGGGGCCGACATGGGCACATATGTACCAATGATGGACCCCTTGATTGTTTTAAATCCCTATGTTATTAAACATGAAACTGGCCACATATAATAGTGCTTTATAGTGTACCAAATGTACCTGAAAGTAGGAATTTCTATTTCTATAAAACATTATTATATTTGAACTATATACACATTATAGAACACTTGGACACTATGGAAACAATATGGTAAGAAACATAGAAACAATATAGACTAGTTTTTCAATAGTGTCCAAGAGTGTTTTTCGACAGGGGAGGGTCTCAGCCTAATGTTATAAATAACAATTTTCTATTCCTTTACCTACCTTTGATTTCTAATTTCAGATCATGTTTTCCTGTTTGGACATAATCTATTTTAGCATGTCTTCTAACTAAATCGAGAGCCTCATAAAAAAGTCTATCCAATAAAACAAATGTTGTTGCCGTTATCATTTCTATTAACAACGTTATTGTGGACCTTATTATTTCTTCTTTTTCATTTTTTAGAGGTCTTCGAGCCCAAGGGTCTACCAATTTTATTCTTTCAATTTTCTTTAATGGAAGTAATGTGTGTTTTTCCTGTATACGACGTCTATAATCTATTTTACGGAAGTATTTTGAAATATATTGATTATCATACTCGATATCCCGAAGGTATTTATCATGGTACTTTTGACAATTTAAAAGTACTCTTAAAAATAAAAATGCTAAAAGCCTTTTCATTACAACCAAAATTCCCATTATGATCTCCTTTTTCAAAATCACATCATGCAATACCGCTTTAGCGGCTTCTTTAGCATCAAGCAGCTCTTTGACTTTCGGCAACTTCATTACTTTAAACTGCAGTCGAACGTTTTTAAAGTTGTCGGAAAATGTTTTTCGGGAATCCTTTAAATACTTGTACCCCTCTCCAAACCCAGATCCAATGTATTTCGATGGATCGCATTTTCCTGCTCCCCCTAGAGACTCTACAATGTTGCAAATAAAGTCCAACTTCATCGGCCAACACAGAATCCAAGCGGCCAACCACGTTACCGTGTCGTAGCAGGAATCGTACCCTTAAAAAGAATTCAGAATTTTTTGTCGATTTTCGTTTCTTAAAACCATAGTGAAAACACTTCTAGGTATACCTTTAGCAAAAACGGTTCTACACTTCATCGCAGCTCTTGTAAACTGATCCTCACACTTCATCTCAATTTTCTTAGCATACAATGTTTGTATCCTTTCTGCTTCCACGACTTCCCCTTTATTAGTATGATTAGGTGCTTCTTTTAACTTTTCTTCTATTATTTTGGACCTTTTAGTATCGCCCATTATTTCATCAAGGTAATCATTCTCTTCTTTAATCTTTTTCATTTCTTCTTCATCCTCTACTTCCCCTACTACGGGAGCCGACATATCTTTAATGGATCTTACAGTATCTTTAATCTCACTTACATCCGTTTTCATTGACTTTATAGCATCAGCAAACGGTTTGAACATTAATTTAATTCTTGTTTTTGTTAAATTAAAAGTTAAAGCAGTCGTACAGGCAAACACCCTTACCACCTCTTTACCGTTATCGGTAAGGTTTTCTATAGGACCGGATATTAAAACAGCCAACACAATTGCTTTTAAAACGCCTCTTCCCACTTTGCCCCCAAAGTTGGGGAATGTCAATAATATAATACATCGAATTTGCGCTGAAAAAGCACATCCAAACGCCAACAATAAACAAATAAAAGTTCCAACAAAAAATGCGGCGTCTTCGGTGAAATCCAAATCTACCAGAATTAGATAATGGAATGCTATACCCAACAGGAAGCCATATATGAAGCCTGCTATCCTCTTCCAAGTGCGGTATTCGCTTCTTCTCGTGCATAGCAAGATGTAGCACGGTTTGCAGGATTTAACGAATTTTTTGAATTTTTTCGGGAAGTCTACGCCTTTGTCAATAAGCATTTTATGACATATTTTGGTTATGTTTATTATACAAAAAGTACAAAAGCACTTTTAATTTAAACTGATGCATACTAAAATATGGATTATTTTTTTATGTAGACTTTTCTTGTGAATAATAATAATACTAATAAAATACTTTAAAACTTGAAAGTCTTTGCAGCCCTTGACCGAAACACAGGATGCTCTCTACCCTTATATAAGGGTTAAAAATTCAATCTCAAAATATAGCTAGATCCACAATCCACATTGTGGCTAGATCAACACCTAGCACCTCCATCAACAAGGTAGAAAATTCATTTTTTTTAACTTACACACTTCCTTTTATACAGAGACTAGCTTATAGCCTTTTATACAGAGACTAGACCCTATAGGGTTTTAAAGTGTCGAAGAAAAACCGGAAAAATTGTGAAAAAACGTTTTTTGCCCACCTCTTGGAAAAAATGTATTTTTTGGGAAAATAGATTTTTTTGTAAAATAACCAGATGAAAAAGGCAGCAATCAAGAACTTTATTTTATTTTAATTTAAAAAATATTAAACTAAATATTGAATTAAATTAGGTGAATTCATTTAAGAAAATAAACGCAATCGTTAAATATATACTGTATATGCATATTAACAAACTTTAGTTTTATTTGAAACTTCGATTTAAAAAATTATAATTTTATACATGTATATCTACTGCCGGTTGGGTCTTTTTTCAAAAAGGAATCCATTTAAAATATCCATTTACAAAATAATGAATGATTTATAAAGTTCAATTTCAAAATTATAATTTTTTAAATCGAAGTTTCAAATAAAACTAAAGTTTGTTGATACAGCACCGAAAATGTTTTTTTTTTGAAGCCCGGTAGAATATTCTTACTAATCATAATATGATTATAATCAGCGTCAAAAATTTACTTTTTTTTCGACATCAGTGTACAGATATCATCCGTAAAAATGTGTAAACTTTCAGAAAAATTGACTTTTGTACTTTGTTTGTAGTATACCCCGCGTACTACGCACCCTTTTTTTAACACAAAAAAAATTGACATTTTCACCAGCGCGCGGGGGTAATACCAAGTTAATTACTCTATTGTTTTTATAGATGTCGCTCTATACGAATATTTAATTTAAATAATTTTTAGATAATAAATGTCTACACGGAAAAAAATCCCTTACTAGGTTTAAAAATAGTTCTATACTTCATGTTAGGAACTTGATTTAAGTATATTTATTATTTCTATGAGATTAGCGTACATTTAAACTAAGTAATGGGATATACTTAATTTTTAAGAAAAACTGTTACTTGATTTGAGATGAGTATTCTTGGATTGAGTTTAAAGGTATTTTATTTTAAAGAAAATTGGTATACTTAAATCAAATATACAATAATGCTTAGATGAAAGAGCTCTAGTTTTTTACTCAAAGCGGAATATTGCCACTTATTTTAAGTATTCTGTATATTTGTATGAAATTTCGGTATACTTTATTTAAATATATGTATATTTAATACAAGAACGCTTATACTTCAATTTAAGTATAAGACCTCTAGAACAAAGAATACACTATACTTTATTTAAGTATAGCTATTATTAAAACAAATACCTAATTCTTCGCTTAAGTAAATACCGTCCACCCTCTAAGACCGCTTCGCTAAAAGAAAAGACGCAGTTTCTGTGTTCACTGAACACTGTTCAGTTCTGTCCTGTGTTCTATGGTGGTAGCGTGTGTAAGTGTCGGCGCCGGCAGTTCGTTTTTTCCTTTTTCGGTCTGGATGTTATTTTTAATAAAAAATAATGGAGAAGAAACTTAAAAATTGGGGCTAAGAATGTTTACTAGACACATTTTTGGGTAAGTAAATAATATTTCATTAATTTAAAGTAATTAACTAGGCATGATCGTAAAAATGTAGTGTAAAATGGATAGGTATACTGTAGTGTAAAATGGATAGCATACGACAGGTAATAGACAATAGCACATAAACAGCAGAAAGGCTATATCCTCCAATTCAGCTATAATATTTTTGTTTTAGAAAACGAGATAGATATCGATATTATGGTAAACCTAAGCGAGGAGAATTTAAAGGAATTAATTCCAAAAATAGGATTGAGGATCAAGTGTAGAGAAAAAATTGAAGAATTAACACCAAACCATCTACGATGATAATGGTAGCCTTCTTAGAGACTCATTTTACAAATTATTTAGCTGGAGATAAATTTTACTGACAATAAAAATACCTACTTAAAAAAATAATAACTATTGTGATTAAAAACCTTACCTTTACCTATAGCACCAAAAATGTGATACCTACACTGAAAAAAATTATTACATTTAAATGTAAAGTTACAGGATTATTACCATATAAATTCCTAATTTTTACGACAAATTGTAAAATTACCTTTATTTTTGTCTAATTTTTATATATTTGAAGGAAATAAACATTTTTGTTTGTAAAATTACTAATGTTATGTATTAATTATTGATACAACAAGTAAATTTAACGAACTAAATGTAAAAAATACAATTATAACGTCTTACTGCATTATTTCAAATGAAAATATACTTTATTAGTCTTAATATTACAGGTTTAAATGTTTTTTACATTCGGAGTGTAGTAAAAATCGCAAAATTACATTTCATATGTAACCGGAGAAGAAGCCTATTGGCTGGTAATTCACGCATGCCTGCCCACGCATCGGCATGTCAATGTTATCATGTATAAATACAGGGCCGAGCCTAGGGTATCTGCCGCCCGGGTGCAAGAATTAAATTTGCCGCCCCCATTAATGTAAAAAATTAGGTTGTCGGTAGGGAAGGAGTTCATTCTCAATAAACATATAACAAATTTTATAGTAAAATAACAAGGTATTTATTAACAAATACATAAAAGAATAAAATAAAAATACATTCAGGAAAAAAAACAAAAATAATTAAACTAAACTAAAAAACTAAAATCTACTTTTCTCGCTTTTTTAATAGCAAATTCCCTAATCAAGTCGCCTACATCCAAGTTGTTAGAAATATCTTCTTCAATACTTATAATTGCTAGATTTGAAAGCCTGAATTGACTCATATTGGATCTTAAATAGGTCTTAATTAGTTTTAATTTCGAAATTGACCGCTCTCCATGGGCAACAGTAACTGGTATCGTCAAAAATATTCTTAAAGCTACAAATAAATTCGGAAAGATGATTAAGATCATTAACTAGTTTTTAACTTAAACGCATTAAAAGACAAAATAAACTACTATGTTTGCATCCTATTTGCCTCACGTTAATAGAAAAACTAAAAATTGCTGAAATACGCAGCCGTCAAATCGGAAGAAATTATGCTTTAACTTAGCTTCAGCTTGTAAACAATATCACGTGGTACACAGCGCGCGATTTGATTGGTTTCCCGTAAGCCCGCTTCCGTAAAACATGAAACTTGACGAACTCGAAGCGGACGGACGGAAAGGGAAGCGGGCGGGCGGCAATCTATAAACCGGGCTTTAAGAAAATTGTCATCATTATTTTTTGGGGCTATCGCGCGTTCGGTTATGTCTTTTTTATCATTGCCGCCTGACAGCACAATTTTGGCATTGTTTTTATGTGTAGAATAAAAACGATGATTCCTTGAAACGCCGACATCAATAAAACGCAAATGATTTTTAGAAAGTTTTTTGCATATTGCAAGGTGGCTTTTTTATTCTTGATAATATGATACAAATTTTTTGATGATACTTTGCCGCCCTTGCCCCCCCGGCACGGCTCGGCCCTGTATAAATACATTTCAAATAAAAAACATATTACATTAAAAATGTTATTTTACATAAAAAATATAAATGAGTTACACGTCAATTATGCTATTACATTTTACATGTAAAATAATAATGAAATGGAATATTTCAGTTATCAACAAGGCATCAAAATAACCAATCTCCATTACCGGAAATTTACATGATTTTTTTTTTCAGTGTAGGTACTTAAAAAAATAAAATGTAAAATATAGTATACTATAGATATATCTATGTTAATTAACCGTGAAAGAATGAATTTATATAAATTGACAGTACTTTTTCTAATACCTCTAAGACTGTTAGGTACCTATTGTGATATCAGTGCCTATTATAATAGTAGTATATATACTTAGTACTTTAGTACATTAAAATAATATGCCAAAAATACTGTTAAATTACTCTTAAATTACTGTCATAACGACTTTCACTTGTATTTTCCGTAGTGGTAGGATAATTAATACAAATATTTTTCAGGTTCACGAATGTTTTTTTTGTAAAAATTATTTCGAGTCGCTAGACGAGGGAATTTTTTTTTCCAATCAACCACTTTCTTTAAGAATAGTGTAAAGTTATTTTAAATATATACTATACTTTTATCAAATATAAAAAAAGGAAAAGTAAGAATACAAGCATTTTATGCAAGTAAAGCGTGTACTTAAAATAAGTATAAATAAAGAAATTTTAAAGAAAGTATATTCTTAAAACAAGAATACTGTAAAGATTTTACAAAGAAACTATACTTTGATGAAGTACAGGGTGGTCCACGTAAGGTGACCCATATACTTATCTCAGAAACTACTGGAGTCACAAAAAATTTGTAAGAAACAAATATTCACGAAATAAAAAATATTATCAAAATATTATATTTTCATTTATACAGGGTGTTCGGTTTTCCTTGGGACGATACCAACTTTCTTATTTTCAATGGAACACCCTGTATTTTTTTGCATTTTTGGATTCTACCCACTCTTTTAGGTATACTTTGTAAATATATTAATTAAGAAAATGTTAATACTTTTTGAGTAAAATTAAGATTTATTAAAATTTCTCTAAATGTAGACACTCGCTAATAGTTAAAAATAATCAACTAAAAGTTATTATTTTTTATATTATGTAGTATCCATCTCTTTATTAATAAGTAAGCTATAAGTTAATTATTATATTTTTTGGAAAATATCATACAGGGTGTTTTCTATGTCCCGTTGAAAATAGCGATTTTAAAAGTTTAAAATCTTGTTT